ATCAGAAATAATGTGCCATAGGGTGATCTTTGAGTTCAGTTGCAGGCAGTCAATTTGTCCACATATTAAGATCAGAGATAATGTGCCATGGTGACATGTGTATAACTGAAATTCAGAATGAACTCAATCTACCATGTGAGTGCCTGCGATACACTCAGGTTGCAGTTTCTCAAATACTGAATGTTTAGTCCCTTGAGACTCCATATTGGCTCAACTTGCAGTTTTCTGAACTCTATTTCAGAATGTTATACCCGATGTCTCGGCTCGCAATTTTTGGTGTTGCTTCTGTTCTTTGGTGACAGTTAGCTATCTGAATGGTTTAGCAAAGGATGGCTACATAGTATGGCAAAGTACATTTGGTATCCCGCTGAAGCTGAAAACATACAGAGCACCTGTAATTAGTTTTTGGTCGACGAATTTCAGCTAGATTATAGTGTTGCGGCTCTGAACTGTGGTGATTGTGTGTGAGTGGAATTTTAGCTAGGTCGCTGCCCTCGCGCCCTTCGCTGCGGGAGCCGGAGCCGCCCACCGCTCGAGCGGCTCAGCTTGCCCTGGCCTCCGCCCCGCCGCCCCCGGTCCTATTCTGCCCCCACGCGATTCGACGATGAGGACGCTAGCGGAGAACCGCTGCTACAAATCCTCACGCTCGCCTCCACCAGTCACATGGTCTCCAGTCATCAAGACACCCCCACCCTCCTCGACTGCTGCTGGTGCTGCCGGCACCACTATTCTTCCTCTCGATCCGGTTCCGGCGAGGAACCCATCACCGCGCCGACCAGTCCAAGGAACTCACATCACCTCCATCAAGGTACTCGCGCTTCTGCATTGTCAGTTCCGATGTCATTAATGGGCGACATCTACATGTTGTGTGTCTCACCTGTAGGAAAACAATGACCTATGTGATTACAAATATGTGCTTGCTTCTTCATGAAGAGCCAAAAAAGGTACCAATTGGTCCTTCTATTTAAATAAATGATGCTGCATAAAATTATATGTTAATCCCATTATTTATTTTCAGTGCAAGAATATGCAGATAGAACCATAGAATATATATATACATTGTACATTACCGCGCACAGGCTTTCTCCCTGTTGCATATGCCTTTATAATAACTTGAGCTATCCATACTTGGATTAGCAACTAAATCTTAGATAATATGAAACTTGTTCTCACATGTCCATTTTCCATAATTCTTAGATGTCCATTCTAGATATTGAGCCTAGAAGCATGCACTTCATGTACAGAATATCTAAGATTTATAGCATTCACTCATATCTCTGACCACAAGATACAATCACTGACTATATAGTACAATAAGATTTAATCTCTGAATAAAATCTCACCAAAGAATCTTCATACAGAAGTATAGACGTTGATGCAAATGTATGGAGCACGGTCACCAACAGATCCACACATTTGGTCAGTGATGAATCAATGCAACCTATTGGTACATGAGTTATTTCTCTTTCTTTCTCTGAACTACTCTTTCTCTTTCACAATTACAGTTCAGCACCTTCTATGAACTGCACCTTATATCATGTCGGATTGATAATTCCTTGTAGTGGGAGGGGAGGATATTCGATCTGAGTATGTCAGAGAGGAGGAGCAAGACGGAATTAATAAGGCAAGAATTGTTTCCCTTTTAGTTTGGATCTCTGTTGCTTCATGATGATATTATCTAACTGATGAAAAGGGAACATTGTACGTGACTGATGAAAGAGTTGTTTCGCCTCACCAGGCAAGAAACTTTTGACCCATCCCTGCAATGTATTTTCATAGTGCCCTTGTATAAGTAAATGGAAGGAATTCTAAATGATGAAGAGTGTCTTATTGCATTAGTTTTTTATATCTGCAGAGTGAGCACATGACTTTCTTCCCTGCCTTTACTTACTAATGAAAAATAAACATCAATGCATGTTATCTTTACTAAATTAATAACACTAAGTAGGAATTCAGAATAATAACATATTAATAACAACGGGTAGGAATTCTGAATAAAAATAGTGCATGAGAAATATGGCATGCACCTTAACATAGAAATGTTCTTTTTAATTGCTCATATGTTAATGTTGCAAATGTTCTTTTCTTGTTCTCTTAATAATGGTTTTAGACGGAGAGCTGCGCCCATGTTGTATGCCAACATTGGTCCTTAGATTAGTCAATTTTTGTTGCAGCATATGTTATCTATAGATTTTTTTAGAATGTCTATGAAGTTTCATCTGCAAGCTTTTGATCCTAATGGCTACATCCTTATAAGGTTATTTCTTGTTTGTAAGATGAATAGTACCTATGTCAAGACTCAAGACTCAAGAGAAGCAAGAGTGCATAGCAGTAGCAGTTGTTCAACCAAGGTAATCACTTGAACCGAATATTTCTAAATTATAATTAAAAGAGGACAGGTTCTTACAAATCTAACATATTCCTTTTGATTCTTGATCTTGTTTCATATATAGCTTAGATGTAGCATGTCATGTATGAATTTACTTCCACTGGGTGGAAGCATTTTATGCTCTTACCTTTGTGCTTTTAAGACTTTTCATTTTAGCTTTATTAGTCAGGACGTGCATTGCATGTACACGATTAACAGGTACAAAATGCCAAACTGGTAAAAGCGCATTTTATTATCAATTCAGTCCACATGGTTTGTGCAACATTTGCATGTAAGAGTAGATTTGCATGTGTTCTTATTTTTTATGGCTAATTAGCTAAACACAATTGCTACATAGTGGTTCCACTTGCTGACAACGGTGAGGTGCAATGGAGATTGCCCTAAGATACACAAATATATTGCTGAATTTAGCAAAGTTGTCTCGAGCTAACTCTTCTAACTTCTACAATAGCCAATATACATGGCATGTTGTTCTCCAGACAGAGATCAATTCATTTTTTACTGTCATTGTCTATTGCTTCCGAGATAAGCACATGCTGACTTTTATATTATCATTCTAGATGTATCTTGTGTTACAAGTTGTCAGATCATTGTTGATGCTGATACATCACTATGACTTTT